TTTTGCTTATAAGCACTTTACTTATAAGCTAGTTTGACCAAGTATATTACCACATTATCCTTATTTAATTTTAAAATTATATAGTATGTCATTGTTTAATGTAGTATCTTTTTTAATAATTTTATAATAAAATGTATTTATAAGCCACATTTTACCAAACACGTCAATTACTTATCAGTCACTTATAAGTACTTTAACCAAACACGTAATTACTTAAAATTTCAAATGCTTATAAGTTAATTTTAGCTTATAAGCAATGGTTGCTTATAAGCTAATTTTCATAAGCTTAGACAAACGCCCCCCTAATCTATTGTGACTTTAGATTTACTGATCATACAATAGCTCCAATGGTTATCCTATTAACAATGGAAGAAGGACTCGAACTTAAGACTTCTTGAATAATATAGACAATAATCATTGTCGAATGATAACTAAATTGTTATGATTGATTTGAAAAATGTGATAAAATAACAAGAGAAATTATATTTCTAATATAATGGGTCATAAAGTTAGACCAAAAAAAAAAAAAAAAATGGATAAAATAGTAATTTTATATGAATTTTGTGTAATTTTTGTTTAATTGTATGACTTAGTTATATGATTCAGTTATGAGCAAAACATTATTAGAGTTAATTATTTATTTCTTAAAAATCATTTGACACTTATTAATTATAATACGTGTTAGATTTTACTTCTATCCAATCATATCTAAAATACATACGTATTTGTTTTAATATTCTCAAAATCCAATCCTATTCAATTCAATTCAAAATATTTAGATTTTTTTAACCTCTTAGATTTGTTAAGTTGACTAAACACCTCCAACAGTCAAAGTTTATAAATTGACAAAAACACTCTATCGACCTACATAATGCCGACAGCTGGCCACCACCGTTAGAAAGGGATCGAAATTTGTCAAAATGGCTCACGACCAGCTGTTTGTGGTCGATCGTGTGTCGATCTGGCCTTTTTCAGCTAGATTCACCACCGACAAAAAAACCCCACCGACCCATATAATGTCGACAGCCAATCACCACTGTTAGAAGTTGTCAGAATCTGCCGGAATGGCTCACGACTGGCTAGATGTGGCTAGTCATGCACCGATCTGGCATTTTTCAACCAGATTCATCATGGATCTGGTCGAAAAAAGCTAGATCGACACACTACCGGCCACGTCCTGCTGAGCGTGCGCCATTTCAGAGATTTTCGGCCACCGTCTGACGGTAATGACCTACTGTTGGCATTTAATAGGTGAGTAGGGGTATTTTTATTAATTTTAAAACTTTTATTATAAAGGTGTTTATCTAAATTAATAAATATAGGGGATTAAAAAATACTCAAATATTTCCAGCAAATATTTTCCAAAAGTTTGCCAAAACACAATTTCAAAATCATATCATCCTAAAAACAACTCAATTCAACTTAAAAAAAAAAAAANAAGTTCACTACACAGTCGATACCAATAACTATATCGCATGATTCAACAGTTCAACGCTTGAAGACCATTCTTCTACCTCTCACTAGTATTTTCCCTCCTGGCCAGAAACTCATCTTTAAAGGTTCCATTTGGTTTAAATATCAGAACCCATTTTTCAAAATTGAATCTTGACTTCTTGGTGATCACCTTTTTGTCTTGTTTTTGTGTTGAAAGGCCAACTTTTGGAGAACGATAAGTCTTTGAGAGAATCTGGGGTCAACAATGGAGCCAAGATCATGCTTGTGGGCACTAGAGGTTTTTTCCGATGGGTAAATTTTTCATTTTTATTTTGTAAATTTAAACTACGTTATTAATGCATGAAATAGACTTAAAAAGGGAGCAATTTCAGCTTCTTGCTTGTTTACATTGTTTAAGATTCTTTATTTTCTTTTTTTTCCTGTGACGAGATTAGTTAATTTTTAATCAAAGGTTCTTCATTTTTGCAGAAGATGATTAAAGATTGTAACTGTTAGAAACGTTGATAAAATTTCTTTTTGTTAAACAATATGGAGATACATCATACATGTACTCTTGAAAAGAAAGGTTTTTTATGTGGAAAAACATGGTGTTTATAGGATTTAAATGTCTTTAGATTATTTGACTGAGGAGTTTATATGAACAGGATGGTCCAACGATAGGAGGGGCTCCAAACCGAATTGCTTCAATGAGAGGAAGGGCTCCAGGCCGATTTGCTTCAACAAGAGGAGGGGCTGCAAGCCGATTTGCTTCAACTATTGGAGGGGCTCCAAGCCGATTTGCTTCAACGATTGGAGGGACTCCAAGCCGATTTGCTTCAACGATTGGAGGGGCTCCAAGCCGATTTGCTTCAACGATTGGAGGGGCTCCAAGCCCAATTGCTTCAACGATTGGAGGGGCTCCAAGCCGATTTGCTTCAACGATTGGAGGGAATCCAAGCCAAATTGCTTCAACGATAAGAGGGGCTCCAAGCCGATTTGCTTCAACGATAGGAGGCGCTCCAAGCCGATTTGCTTCAACGATAGGAGGCGTTCCAAGCCGATTTGCTTCAACGAAGAAGAATATCAAAGTTGAAAAGAGCCGTACTGAACGGTGGAAGGCTACCAATATTGTAGCATTGGCCGAATGCAACTTGAAGGTACAAAAGTAATAACTCTTCCAAATGATTTCAAACAAAATTTACCTAAGTTGATTGTGGATCCTAATCATATCTTACTGTGATTGAGATATTGTATCAAAAAAACTTGATACTTAGCTTAGCGGTTTGTCTGACTGTCTGATGATACAAATTAGTCAGATCTTCGAATGTCATAGATGTTCACCAATTGAATGTCAATTTTGTAAGACCTGTCTGCAGATATTTGAAAAACTAGAGGAGCTGCTTTTCACTGTAATGTGAGTGTGGCTTTCCCCTTTGATGTGAATACCATTAACAGAAGTAATTTGCTGCAGAGTTAGTTTTCTTTAAATGGAGGACATAGATTATTAATGAGGAAGGTTTTGAGGTTGGTAGAATCAGTGTCAATTTATTTACTTTTAGGAGCTAAGAGTTCTGTGTTGCCTAATATGTAGAAGAAAACAAATTGAACTGAGAGGTGTAGAACTTCATTATTATCAGATATAAACATGTAAACCGAAGAGTTTTTATTCTTTTAGATGTATTCACAAGGTATATGTTTGATAACTTTATTGTATCTCTTGATAGGACATTCCTGATGAAGTTTGGCCTTGTGCACCTTTTATAAGAATCCTTGATGTCAGCCACAATTCCATTCAACATGTACCTGACCGGATTGATTGTCTTACTGGATTGAGGGTATAAGAACCATTTTGTTCCGAACTTTGGTGTTTTTACTTCAGCTATTTGAATGACCTCCCTCTAAAAGATCATGAATGTAATCCTTCAATCTCAATTCTTTGGTAGAAATTGTATCTTAATGGAAATGCTTTATCGGATGAATCCATTAGCTGGCAACGACTCACTAGTCTGAAGCTTCTACAAGTTCTATTTTTAAGCCGAAACTGGTTAGTTGTTTATGTATTCCCCAGTGTTACTGCTTGTTTTACTAAATCATGATTCTCTCTTTTTTTATGTTACTAAATTTCGTATAAGTGCATACTAATTCTATAGAGTTCTTTAATCATTGTTCTTGAAAGTCACCTGAGGTGTGAAATGTGGGATACTTTCTTTATCTCTATAGTGTTATACGCCCGGAACCGTAGCTTCACTGTGTACGTATGCATAATATGATGAATTACATCTTTTCTGCAGTTTGAACACTCTGCCTTCCACACTGGGTCTTTTGACTTCTCTGCAGCAGCTACATGTTGCAAACAACCTCTTAACTGCCCTCCCAATTGAAATAGGATATCTGACTGAGCTTGAAATTTTGAAAGTCAACAATAATAGGTAATATATAGATAAATTGATGCAATTATTTTGTAGGAAATCTTTTGTTGGCATTAGAGCGCAAAAAGAATAAGACTGCCCCTATGTATGCTTCTTCCTGTCTATGTTGTATACATAATTTTGTGATTCTTGATTGGCTTGTTTATCTTCCTCAGGATTAGTTCCATTCCTTCAAGTATAGGCAACTGTACTTCTCTTGTCGAGGTACAACAATTTGTGTTCATCCTTTTTTCTTTTTAGTTGAATGAAAATCTATCTAATGTGGCGTAAATTACTTGGTTATTGACTGCAAACTAGAAGAATAATTTCCATCCATATAACATGAATTTGATATTTCATTTGACCTGATCTTCATATGGTGCAGGTAGATCTTTCATCAAATCATCTGTCTGAGTTGCCAGATGAATTTTGCAGTTTGCACAAATTGAAGGTCCCTACTTTCTTCTTAGTTACATGTTTCTTTCTTTCTACTCTCTTTCATCTGATTGCTATATCAGGGTTTTAGGTAGTTTGTAAATGAATTCCCGCCTCATCTTGGTCAAATTTTTTCACTAAATTAAAATAGAACTGAAGACATTATTATTGGAGGACAGTCAAATTCTTGCATCAAGAGGTTCACCAATTCTTGTGCACTAGCTGTATATTCTTGAGGGGGCATGAGATTTGCCATCAAGAACTGTGGCTAATTTTTTATCTTGGATACAGGCTTTGTATCTCAGTAACAATGCTATGAAAAGCCTTCCAAATTCGTTTTTCATGATGTGCACCCAGCTCTCAATTTTGGATCATCATCATACAGAAATCACTATGGACACCCTCTGGCAGGTTTTGTATATTATTTATTAGAATTATCAAGTGGCCCAATTTGCTCCCCATTTACTGCAACAGATACTAAAGTATTCTTCTACAACAGTGTGACGGATGGGAAGATTTTGAGGAGCGCCGTCGTGCAAAGCGCCGGAAGCGAAATGATTTCGGAGTTATTAATTCTGCTGAATCTGATGAAGATGCTGATAAAAATTAAGTGATCTGTTTTCGGTTAGAGACCTTGTCTATTTTTTCCTAAATTAAAAAAAAAAAAATAAAACTGAGACATTATTATTGGAGGAGACAGTGCCTTATTATGGAGAACAGCAAATTCTGTATAATCCAGGTCACCATTCTTTTTGCTGTTTGTCCTATAGGGGCATAGATTAGCCATCAAGAACTGTGGCTATTTTTTATCTTGTAATTTATACAATGTTTCTATTACTGTACAGGCTTTTGGCTAATCAGTAACAATTGCTATGAAAGCCTTCCACTTCGTTATGCAGGATGTGAGCCATCTATCACTTTGGATCTTCAATAATATAGAAATCACTAGGGTAACCCTCTTGTAGTTTGTGTATATTACTTCTTAGAATTATCAGTGGCCCATTTATATTCCCAATTTTACTGTAACAGACTCTAAACTAGTCCTCTTCTCAATATTAAGGATGGGAAGATTTTTGACGGCGCTGTTGTGTAGAGGTCAGAGGCAAAGGAGAGAAAGTAACACCTCATTCTATATATATATTATTCCCTCTTTGGTTTGTTTTATACGAAGGACTTTTCTTTGTTGGGGATGAAAACGAAAGAAAATGGAAACTATTTGGTTTTCAGCAGCAGGGGCAACAAAATCTGGAGTTTTAACGCAAAAAGCTTATGTGGCAGGGTTATACTAGAATTAAGAGAATTTTTGGGGGTTGTTGTGAAACTCACAAAAAAATTGTTTAATATAAATCTAGTCGGGAAAAGAAGTGTTGGCCGAAAGGTTAGAGTGAGAGAGAAATGGAGTAAAAATGGGGCGTGAGAAAATTTGAAGCAGATCACTTGCGATCTGAGGCTCGGTCACTCATGCATGGGGGTTGACGACAATTTCTTAGTGTTCTTTTCCTTCTTATAAAGGGTTGAGATTGATCTTGGTTCCTTGGTGTAGTGTGGAGAAAAGTGTTTGGACTTTGAGTGTGAGATCATTTGAGCTGAATTTTTGTAGTGATCACAGAAAACTTATTTTCTTAATTCAGATCTATGCCTTGCATTTAATTGTAGTTTTCGCACTGTTTGTGTTTTTATGGATTTGACTAATGTGAAGCTTGCCTAATTTATTTGTCTTTTGCATGTTTTTTGGATGTTTCTAGAGTGGTTGGTTTTGGTTCTTAAATGGAATGAATTTTCTTGCTAATTGACACTTGCATGCATTTGTTGGTTTATTAAATTGTGATGTTGCCTAATACCTTTAATTGCATGCACTTGGCTGAATACATTTTGGGAGATGCGTGAGTTTAGTTTTTGATTTAAGGTTTAGTTGGTTGAATACACTTGCCTGCTCTCGGCGGCATGTCTTTGAGAAAATTGTTTAAATGCCGTTTTAAATGCTCGGAATTTAAGGTGCACCTTGGGTGGAAGTGTGCGCCGTATTTGAATATATTTTTATAGGAGATGAAATATGAGTCCGTGGAAGTCAACGGAAAGTACGTCTCATTTATGATTGTACGACATTCCTTGTGTACTTTCCTTGGGGTAATGTGCAGACAGTGAATAGTATGAAAGTGATACTACACAAGAGTGGTGTCCGGACTTGCCTTGTGATGGGTTGTTGACGAAATTTCTAGATCTAGGCTAAACCGTTAGTTTTTTTTTACATATTAAAAATTGTTGGTTTCACCCCTGTTGTTATTTTGAATTTATGTCTATATGCATGATTTATAAGCACATATGTAATATTTCTTGACTTACATGTACTTGAGATTAATGCATGAGATTGTTGTGGTTCCTAACACCCACCCTACAAAGTACCCATCCTCCAGTTTAAACAGCTCTAGCCCATCAGCATGCAGGATTTGTTGGGTATTGAGATATTCGTTCTTCAGGCTCGGCTTAGGCGTTGAGTTTGTCCGCCAAGTTGAGATGGTTGTTTCTTCAGCTCTGCTCGAGCGATGATAGATCTTGCCAGGTATTGAGAATGTTTTCTCCCACTCTTGCCTGTATGTGGGACCGCCCCCCAGGTATTAGTTTTTTCCCCAAGGTATGGTTGTGGTGGCGAACCTGCAGTAATTAGTTTTTGGTTCGGAGCGGATATTAGGTTATATTTTCAAATTACCGCCTACATTTTTTCGTATTAGTTTATAGTTTTAAGTAACAGTATAAGAATCAGCTTTCAGTTTTAGAATGTTCACAATCAATTCAGTTTTCTGTATTAGAACATTATGGATAATTTCATAGTATTGAACATCGATGTTTGAGCCATGATTTATGGAAACACTTGTTTTCAGAACATAAGCCTCAACAGCTATACTTTAATTCTCATAAAAGAGTTTTTTAGCATTTAGTGATAAGTTAGGATTACCAAAAATTATTGTTTTTTTAGTTTAAAATGATCAATTATCAGTACTTAGAACAATTAGAAACGAGTTTATGCATGCTACTGACTGATTATTTGCTTTCCATAACATGTGTTCATAGATCATGTTTTCAAAATTTCATAAGACGTATTGCAAACCATAAATACTTGTTGAAGAATGTTTTGCAACCTCCTTTTTTTCCCCATTCAACTGAGTATTTTAGCTCACACCCTTTCAAAAAATGTTTTCCATCACCCCTCACCCCCCACAAAAGGTTTACAGGGAGTATCGAGCCAACGCAGTGAGTCACCCCTCAAGGTGTATTGTTGTCTGTAATAGTCTATGTTTTTGCTGTAATTACACAAGACATTGCTACTGTTTCTCGATTTTTCATGTTAATGCTTTATGGTTTCAAACTTCCCTAAATTTGTTGTATGTCTTATTCATACTTGTATTTTTAATTACCTTTTTCGATACGGATTACATTATCTATATATCAGAAAACAAGGATTTCGGTTTTCACATTTTCCCACTATGACAAACTTCGGTCACCAGTCTTGCTGGGAGCGCCGCGATCATGGGATGAGGAGAGGTCGTGATGGGTCCTGGGTCAGGAAATTTTTAATTCTGTTGAATTTGAGAATTGGCTGATATTATATTGATTGATCCGTTTTCTGTGATACAGATGCAAATTATTAACATATTATAGACAGGGAAGTCTGGCTTTTTACATTAGACAAAAGGAACTTATTCTTGTCAACCTTTGATTGATATTGGAATACTTATAACACAGATGGGCAATTTGTATGCTTTGGTATAGTTTTCCTCCCTCGAAACATTCTCGTTGGTAAATAATGAAGATCCCGTGTGGAAAACTTACTACCAGGTACTCTCGTTTTGAGCAACCTACATCACATAGGAGGTAGTTAGAGCCATGGGTTTAAAAATCTTAAATTTCTTGGATCAAATTTGCTTGATGAACTTCTTGTATTTCAGGCAACTATAATAGGGACCGATATTTATTATTTGCCCACAAATACATATCAGACAGATATTGGAACTCAACTTTCGGGTAAGCTCACCAACACCTTTTTCAACCCTATCCTTTTGTCTGTCATCTCTCACCAAGTGGCCAAATTTTGTCGACTAACATTCATTAACCTGATCATCATACCCCTACAGATGCTGATTCTTGCATTTTAACATCCCAAACTCTCTTCTTAAGTTCAACCATCACTGTTTTCTAGTTTTATCACGTTCCCCAAACTGCCCCTTGATGCTTTCTCATATTGTGTCCTTGCTGTCTCCTGAAGCCATAATCGCCCGGAAACACAAGTCTATATTGCGCGATCTGCATGGGGATGTGAGACAACTCTTGGAGCCTTAGCTTCTTCTTCTTCATAGAGCCTGATCTGATTCAGCGTGGATTGGGTCCCAGCTGTGGTGGTTGCTTCTCTTCCTCTACATCTTGCCAAGCCTGGCCTCGCAGGAATGCTTTCATTTTGACAGCCCATATGATGGTACTCTCTCCATTGAAAACAGGAGAAAATAGAGGCTTGTGCGTTGTGCCATGAAGACAGTTCTTTGTTGAGTTGACAGTGGGTTTTTACGTGAAAGGAGTTGTAGAATGTAGATTGAGAGATGATTTTGCACGGCCCTTTTGATCGTAAGAAGAGCTCTGATACCAATTGTTGGTTTTGCTGGAGAATGCAAGGGAAAAACTGATGCAAGAGAGACGAAATTGGCTGCAATAACTTAAAACTTTCATTAAAAAAAGACAATTTTTTATACAAAGGTTGTCCACTGTTTTCACCTATGCGTGGATAATTTTACAAGCGTAAATCTCAACCATACAATCAAAACTAATACAAGTACAACTTTAATATAACCCTTAATAACGGCTAATTCACCTAAACATATCACAAATCATATCACAAATCTAGCAAAACAGCAGCTCCATCCAACTGCTTCTTGTACAGCAGATTTTTCAAACTTGGGCCCAAATGTTGCAACTTCACCAGTCTGAAATCTTCTTCATTTCAGCAAATATCACCAACTTCACAAGAATAATATTTGACTCCACTTCACTGCTATGTGACTAGTCATAACCAGATGGCTGATTCTAGATTTGTATGGATTTTTCTCCCTTGAACATTCTGTTGGAAGTAATGAAACCTTTGAATTACTACCAGGGTACACTCCTTTTGACCCAACTACATCACATAGGAGTAAGATATTGGGTAAAATCTTAAAATTTCCGATAAATTTGCTTCGGATTTCTGTTTTTCAGCCAATTGTAACAGGACCGATTTATATTTCCAAAATACATATCCAAGAACACGATATCTCAGCCTAACGAAAATACCCATAATCTAGTGCTAATTAACACCGCCAAATTTTGTATAAAAACTATAGTTACTCTCACCTCAGAGAACACTCGCGGCAAACAAAAAAAAAAACTATTGAACACTACTAAATTGTTTAGCGCCTGAATTGGCTTTCTAATACACACAACAATAGTGTTTATAACAGAAATCGAAAAGCTTTTCACGGAAGAAACAGAGAGCAAGATGGAAGAAAGCAACATTAATATCACAGTGAAGTTCATCACAGAAATCGATACCAATAACTGCATCGCATGACTCAACAGTTCAACGCTTGA